CGTAAAAAAAATGAATGAATAAATATTATCAGACATTTGAGTTTAAGTTGAATAAAAATACGAATGTATTTATACTTTTATTTGATTAAATCATTTTGGACTAACTCAATTGCATTTAAATTTTAACCTTATTGGTTGAACCTAGGATCCAGGAGGAACAAATTGTTTTTTGTCCAGGCCATGGTACACTGGACCAGCTCTATACCCTCACTAGGGTGCTTGATGGTTCATGGGAGTATGCCCAACCAGTCCACATGTGTTTTGTGGACCTGGAGAAGGCATTCGACTGTGACACACGTGGCATTCTGAGGAGGGTGCTGTGGGAGTATGGGGTCAGAGGTGCTCTGTTAAAGGCTGTCTCATCCCTGTATAAACAGAGTAGGAGTCTGGTTCACATTGCCGGCAATAAGTAAGACTTGTTTCCAGTGCAAGTAGGACTCCGGCAGGCCTGCCTTTTGTCACCAATTCTGTTCATAATTCTTATGGACAGAATTTTAAGGCACCGCCTTGGGCTGGAGGGGGTCCGGTTCGGGGACCACAGGATTTGATCTCTGTTTTTTGCAGACGTTGTTGTTCTGTTGGCTTCATGGAACATGGACCTTCAGCATGCACTGGGGCGGTTTGCTGCCAAGTGTGACGCGGCTGGGATGAGAATCACCACCTCTAAGTTCGAGGCCTTGGTGCTCCACCAGAAAAAGGTGGTTTGCCAGCTTTAGGTTGGAGAAAAGTCCCTAACCCAGATGTAGGGGTTCAATTCTTTTGAGGTTTTGTTCATGAGTGAGGGAAGGATGAAATGTGAGATTGACAGGCGGATTGGTGCAGCAGCAGCAGTTAATGCGGTCGATGTACCCGTTGTGGTAAAGAAGGAACTGAGGCAAAGGCAAAACTTTCGACTTATCAGTCAATCTACATTCCTACTCTCACCTATGGCCATGAGCTTTGGGTCATGACTTATGACCAAACGGACAAGATCATGAATACAAGCGGCTGAAATTAGTTTCCTTTGCAGAGTTGCAGGGTGCACCCTTATGGATAGGGGGAAGAGCTCTGTCACCTGGGAGAAGCTCGGAGTAGAGCCACTGCTCCTCCACATCAAAAGAAATCAGCTGAGGTGGCTCGGGCATCTGTTTCGGATGCCTCCTGGACGCCTACCTAGGGAGGTGTTTCAGGCATTTTCACCGGGAGGAGGTCTCGAAGAAGACCCAGGACACGCTGGAGGGACTATGTCTCTCGGCAGGCCTGAACGCCTCAGAATCCCCCCGGAGGAGCTGGATGAAGTGTCTGGGGTTCTCTCCCAAGACTGCTACCCCCGGGACCCGACCCCGGAAAAGCAGTAGAAAATGAATTAATGAATGAATGAGATAGACCCTTTTCACATGACATCATGCAGTGCCCGGTTTCACTCAACACAGTGTATTATTACTTCCGCCTACACAGAACTCCCCATCGAGAATTCACCCAGTCAGCTGTATATTTACTGCAGAGACGGTTAGACTGTGACTATAGCTGTTTTCTGTTGTCTGCATTCAAGGTGAGACATCTGACACCTAAATAAAAACTTACAGATCAGCCAGATTTCCGTTTGAACCAAGAAAAGGAGATTTAAAATGAAGTGTATTGCTTTGTGTTGCTGTCTTTATTCCAGATGAAGGTGGTATGCACTTGTCAGCATTTTTCAAATAAAGATTTCAGATGTTTCCATGGGTGCTAAACTTTTTTTAAGTCAAATTTATTTTTATTATTTTTTGTGTCCTGAAGAATAAGTATTAAAAAAACTGTTTTACTGTGGTTGTTTACAGTAAACGTCTGATTCCCAAACAGTCATATTTTTCACTTTCTACCACTCAGTTCACTGCTATTTGTTCTATATAGGTACTTAATTCATCAACATGAAACATTTAAGTCTATTTAATATTCAAATTCAATGAAATAGAATAGAAAATATTGTATGTGACTATTACTTATCAAACAAAATCATTATAAAAATTTACAGCTGCAAAACCTCCAAAAACTTCCGAAAAAGTACAGTGAAGCCACATCACAACTTGCATACTTACCAAAATCATGTTCCTCCACTGCCGCAAGTAGTTCTCTGCCTGTTTCAAACCTTAGAGGGCTAAAGGTTATTACAATTTAACCAATCAAAAGAGCATATATTTAATATTTAACTTTTTTATTCAGAATCACACAATGCCTTTGTAATAAAACAAATTGCAAAAAAAAAAAAGTTTGCTTTAAATGCTTACAGAGGAAAAAGCTCAGTATATAACACTGATCCCAGAATCAACACAATGCTTAAATCTGAATTGCACAGTCCATATGTGTAGATTTAAGGCACAAATATAAAACATCCAGTATAAATAGAGATTTAGTTAGGGCACAGGATGTGAAGTGAGACAGAGATCTTCATTTGTAATAATCCCCTAGACATTCACTATACCAAACCAGCGATTTAAAAAAAAATAAAAAAAAAAGGAAAAAAAGACCTAATCTCAATCCATACTGTGGTGGATGATAATCTCTCCCAGGCAAAACTCTGGAGACTGTAGCCTGGATGGGTAGTGTTCTGACTTATGATTATCAGCATGTCACGCCAATGAGTTTTTATCTAGCTCCAGGCTTACACTATACCTAAAAATAAACATCCAAAACATCTAATTTATGCAGGGTTTCAGATCCTTTAGTCCCAGATAGACAAGTTATGAGTGTTTTACAAGATTTCATGTAAACAGAATAGATTTGAATTAAAAAAGGAAAAGATTTTGAAAGAAGATTGGGAAAATGTCAGAATGTGAATGGCCAGTAGCACTCTGTGGAAGCCCATTGTTGAATTGTTGCTCTGAGGTCTTTCTCAACCCCCACATGAGAGGATGGCATTATTTCTTTCCCAAACCAAACATGCAACATGTAATAAGCAGCAGCATTAAGGCCCCAAAATACTTCAAGCAAAATTATAACGTGTGTTGTCATTTTGAACAAAATTGAGCAAAAACAAAGCTTACACCTTGCATTAAAATGTCACAGTTTAAACATTTACACTGTATTTAATTTTTTTTTTATCTTTCAATATAATATACTGTACCCCTGTCCCAAATAGTAAATTTCATATTAATGACGGCCATATGGCCTTTCATATTTGGTCTCATGGTCTTAAACTGTGTGTCTTTGCTAAGTGTATGTGTCCATATACACTCAAAAATAAAGATATGAGAGCTGTCAATGGGTTGGTACCTTTTTAAAAGGTGCACATTTTTTAATTTCCAGCTAACATTTGAGCGCTGTTAAGAACCTATAAAAAAAAGGCTCAACAAATATGAATGACTTGTTCACCAAGAACAAAGACACAAACACTGGAGTGTTTAAAATCCACATCTATCAGCTGATCTGTCTGTGAGCAAGATATATAAGAGATCAACTGATAGACAGTGTATCTGTTTTCACTAGGTGAAGATGACCTTTCCTAGTTTGAGTCATACAATTGAGTCCCTAAATTCGTACCCGGATTTATGTCCCTAAGGCTCCGTTTACACTAATACACTTTAGTGAACAACTCTGCGTCTACATTACACCGCTGAAAACCTCTACCCATATAAGAGCTGTGCACATTGGACTGTTCATCAAAGATCTACCGCTGGATCTAATCACACTATATTTGTTAAACGTGATTTTTAATTCATCTTGCTGTCTATATCTAATGACATTTTCCCAGACTTTGGTCTTTTGAATCTATTACTTGTTCTCAGGTAACGTGTGTTGGCTGGGCGCTAAGATAAGTTAGGTTAATATATAAATTAACGTAACAGCGGACACTGATTCTGCTTGCCTTTATTTTCTATATTGTATAAACTTGTTGTACGTTATACATTTATAATGGCCATTATTGATTATTAAAACTGATATTCAGTGAAAGAGAGGGTATATTTCGTATTTTCAATAAAAATTACAGGAGGTAGTAATGTTATAGGCTCTGTTTTTTTTTTTTTTAATATGCCTACAGTGAAGACGACACAGTTCCTTATATCATGCTTTTATTTTATTGTTAAGAAAAGTGAAACAACGTAGCCAGGGTGATGAGAATGACGTTATACAGTACTGTTCCCTTTGAAGATTTACTCGACCTGTCCTCTGCAGTTTGTTTTTCAACTTGCGAAGTCTGAACTTACAAGGAGAGGATGCAAGACTGAACTGTGTGTGGGCTGCTTAATAATGAGGAAAAAGCCCCAAACAGAAAGGCGAATATCTGCAAGTCCGCCTCCATTTTCAGATGTCTCCGTTTTCCTGGCCTCCACAGCATTTCCAAAACGCTCCGTTTTCGGCGCTCGAAAACTCCAGCGTAGTTTGGACAGATGGCGTAACTGTAGCAAAACTTATGTGTTTTTAAACAAGAATGTATTAGTGTAAACGGGGCCTAAGTGCTGCACTAATGATGTCATCAAAAGTGCAGACTATGAGGTAGTCCACAAGTCTGGAGTGTGTTATTTGGTACAGGGCCTGAGAAATGAGTATATGAGGTTGCATAATTGGACATACACAGCAGTAGCTTTTGTTTCTTTTTCATCGTAAAACTCGAAATCTGTCAATATTTTTTGCAATCTAGATTTCAGATTTAAATAAAATTTACAGTTTTAGTAAATATTTTGTAAATTGTATCTAAAAAACACATTTTAATACTAGGTTTGGGATAATAAAACAATGGTAAACTAACATCAGCAGTGATTATGTAAGATCAGGGGTGTAGTAGCAGGTCTAGTTCATTTGTATTCCCAATTTATTGTAGTCAGATGGGAATAAAAAATTAATATAATTCTAACTGAAAGCAACACTGACACTGTTTTCCCATGTTTAATACCGCAAAGCTGCCTTCTGTAAAGAATTCAATTGTATTCAAGTAGGCTACTCTATGAATAAATGTACTGAACTGCTTGTGCAAACATACCAACATTGCTATCACCAGATGCTTTATTTGCTGCAGTTTTCTCACCACCACGATTTTCATCATATGTTTATTTAGTAATTGTGATGTGCAGTGCATGTTTAAATATTCAATATTGTGTAAATGCAAGGACGAAGAAAGCATGTTCACGACCGATATGTCAATGCCAGGTGCTTTTTCTTTTTACCTCCAAGCGAACTTCGCTGTGAGTAAATCAGGGCCTTAAGCTCAAACACCTTTGTTTCAAAGCTGCTTTCAAGTTAGTCTTTTGGGAACTTTGACGATGAACTCCATTGGTTCTTTGGCCTTGTTGCTGAAAGCCCTCCGAATGGCATCCACCGCGTGCTGATGTGTGACACCTTGAAGAGACTCTCCATCTACCGACACCAGCTCGAATCCAGCCTACACACACAGACAAAACAGACATTTCTAGAAAAGTTGAGGATTTGATGATTAACACAGATGTCTGTTTTCCTGACATATGCCTGAGTATTTTTGGCAGAGCACAGACAGCCGCACGCTCTCTGAATGGCAGGAAAAAGCAGATGCTGCAGGCACAGGATGCCACTTGTTTCCTTTGTTCTCCTTCGTTAATACCTGTGAATGATCTCATCTGGCGCTGTGTGTGTGTCAGAGCTCTGCCAGTGGATGACATCAGCTTATTATACCTCAGAAATGGATGTTTTTCTCTGATTGTAACCACTGGCAGAAAAGAAGCACAGATGTTTGGGTCTCTCAGGTCAGAAACGCAAGGCATATCTATCAGATCTCGTCTAAACTCATTCTCCTATCACTCACATCGCTAACATCATAAACTAATCCAGGGAAAAGACAAATCAGAGTAAACCGGTCCGAATGTTATACAGCAGTCTCTAAATGTGCATAAAGTAAAAGTTAAATACTCACACAGATGCAAGAGCGTGTCTTTGGAATTATGTCTTTCCTGCCAGGAAAAAAGTACAAAGTGCAGCTGAGCTCACAAGCGCACGTTTAGTTCAAAGTAGGCACATTTCCTCAGTCACGATCTCTTACCAGGATGCACCTGCTTAGTGAACTTTCTACACCCATCCTTCAGCGGTCAGGGACTGTTTTCATGCTTTCCAATGGTCAAAACAAACACCTTTGTCCCTTTATTGAGACAATGTATTTCTATGTTCATGGCCAAAACACATTTGAAAAGGTAATTGAAAATGTTCAGCTAAAAGTGAAGTCCACAAGATATTTAAATTAGTCATAAAATGTGGTGTATACTTAATTCCATTAAAGATGATTCACAAAAAAATACATTTTCTGCAAGCTATATTTCTAAATGTGGGTATCTTTCGAAAAAAAAAAAAAAACATTTTAAGACTCTTAAACACCTAATAACCAAATTTATGAACACTGCAGAACAAAGCTTTTGACAATTCACAGAGCGCAACAACAGAGATTTTTGCTCATTAGTTTGTTTACATTTATACTATAGGGCTGTTGAATGCTTGATTCTGATAGGCTGATGAAAATTCTAAGGTGTGCAATTATTATCAGGGAACCGCACAGCTGACGTTCCAGGAAGGGCTCTGACCACATTCCATTTCCATCAGTGAGCTAAATGATTTCAGTTTCATTTCAATTTCTCAATTTCACAGCCTACATTTTCAATTTCACAGCCTAAATTAGCCAAAAATCAAATCAAAATAAAACAGAAGGCTTTAGATGAAATGCGTAAGAAACCAGTATTACACAGCAGGTGTTTAAGCGGAATGAGCCACCAACTTATCCAGCATATTTTTGCGCAGCAGATGCACTTCCTGCCGCAACCCATCTCTGGGAAACATCCACACAGCAACATTTTTTTCCCATTTTGGACAGGTAAAATAGTGTTTGGTACATTTCATATGCTGCAAAACAGTTGCAGGATGGCACTGTATGTCTGTAACAAAATCTAAAACATTAAAAGTATTTTAAATAAACATTCAAAGTATTTTTAAAGGAGGGCACCTTTTTCTGCCCAATCCTTGTACGCTCCCACTCTCACCTCCCTTGATGACAGAGAGGTCAGGGGATTTGAGGCGATTCCCCAGGTGGAGCGTGCTATCGCGGTCAATCTCTGTCCGTGGAGCCGCTCCACTTGTGGAGATTCGACCAAACTCTCTTCCAAGACATGCAGATTATCTGAGTTTCTCAGGGCCAGAGCCTTCACTGCTGCGGGCCAGGCCGCCTAGCAGCCAAGCTGAGAAGCTACCAAGCTGAGAAGCTGGCCGAGATGGCCACCTCTGGCTGAGCTTGGCTGATATGAATGATGTTGACAAAGCTTGCTTTCTTAACGCTCCCATATCCTAGGCTGGCCTGTTCGGCAACACCGTTGGGGAGTTCACCCAGGAATTCTCTCCGATGAAAGAGCAGTACAAGGCAAGGGGTGAAGTCATCTATCAGCAAGCTCGGAAAACTGCTCCACTTGCTGCCCCTTCTGCAGCTCCTCGCCAAGGCCATCCACCTGCGACTTCAACATGTGCTCCACTTTTGCTGCCCGCTCCACCAGCCAAGCGGCAACGCCGATCCTCCCGCGTGACTGCGACGCCACTGCCCCAGGCGCCACTAAGTCCAGTAAACGACCGCGAAGTGTCTTTGGGACGGGCCATTCGGAGAAGAGGGGACCTTCTCTTTCATCGGTGGGGGCCAAGGATTATTACATCAGTCCACAACAACTCTAAACTCATCGCTGCCGGCCTCCGGGCTTACAGCAACCAAATTTTCAAAAGAGCAGTTTCTTCTTTCTCTCTGGATGCACAAACACGAGCACTGCCAGTCTGGGATGCTCCACCTTCCAGCTCACAGCGATGGGACCCTTCGCCTCAGGCCCCCAGAGTGCAACAGAACTCCTTTCTCTCACTTCGGCCTCACCAAGGGATCCAGGGAGGAAGGTAAGAGAAATTCTCTTATTTTCAGCTCTTCCTCGGGACGCACCACTTCCCGGGATGAGTACTCCCATCTCAAGCTACCCCTCCGCTGGCACATCAGCGATCACTATGATAGTGCCATTAGCGTGTGCTCTGCTGGCCTTGTTAGTGATGCTCAGCTCGTCGCGATGGCTCATATGGCTATGCGATTCAGTTCGCTATTCCCCCTTTCCAAGTTCACGGGTGTCCTTTTCAGGAGGGTTATCCCAGAGAGCGCCCCTGTCTTGCGAGATGAGATTGCCGTTCTCCTGGCGAAGGATGCAATCGAGCAGGTCCCTCCAGCCAAGATGGAGTCCAGGTTTTACAGCCTGTATTTCATCGTGCCTAAAAAGAGCGGGGGATTAAGACCAATCCTAGATCTGAGCAGACTGAACTGTCATTTTCACAAAATGCCTTTCAGAATGCTCACGCAGAAACGCTTGCTTCAAAACGTCCGTCCACAGGATTGGTTTGCACCCATAGACCTGAAGGATGTGTATCTTCACGTCTCTATTCTTCCACGCATGCCCCTTTTTCCGATTTGCGCTCGAAGGACGAGATCTCTGGAACCTTCACGTGTGGTTCTAGACGGTGCGCGGAAGACTTAGGTGACTTACCGCCTGCGGTACTCAACACCATCGTGCCTTGAATTCGGGTCGGGTTACTCTCACCTTGTCCTTAGACCCCGGCGGGTTATGTATCCAAGGTTCCTACCACCCCATTTAGAGATCAGGTGGTGAACCTGCAAGTGCTGCCTTCGGAGGAGGCAGGCTCAGCCCACTCACTGCTTTGTCCTGTTTGCGCCTTTACGTGGAACGAACACAAAATGTAAGATCATGTGAACCGCTCTTTATCTGTTATGGTGGTCAGCAGAAGGGAAGTGCAGTATCAAAACAGAGGTTGGCCCACTGATTAGTTGATGCCATCGCCCTCGCTTATCAATACTAGGGCGAGTCGCTCCCTCTGAACGCGAGAGCGCACTCTACTAGAGGTGTCGCTTCCTCATGGGCGTTAGCACGCCTCTCTCACAGATATCTGCAGAGCTGCGAGTTGGGTGACACCTAACACATTCGCAAGGTTCTATAACCTTCGAGTCGAGCCAGTTTCCTCCCGGTTATTGGGTAACCCTAATCAATCGGGGTGAAATTAAGCTCGGTGTCACAAACTGTTGCTGTGCCATGCTCCCTAACCAGAGATGTGTGCGCTTTTTCTACTCTACTAGTAAGTTCCCCTTCTCAGGTGAACCCTAGAGAATTCCTCCAAGGCCCCCAGCATCGAGTCGAGTGCATGGCTCAGTGTGCGGTTGATACGCCCATTTGGTCTACACGCATATTGAGGATCGGTGCTAGCAATGTGCATCCCTATTGGTGATGCCATATGCAGTATTACCACGGTGTGTTCCCCCTTATTAGGCGGTCCTGTGTCTGCCCTAAACCGCTAAATAGCTTATCATATGTAGCACTCCCCCTCATTAGGGCTAGTCCATATGTCTCTTTACCATCAAGTAGGGGTGTCAAAATTAATTGTTTCTTTGGTGCACCGCGATGCAGACGCGGACAATTTATTATTGGTTCAGTAATAATCATAACCGGTTAATATGTACTGACGTCATTTATCTCCTATGCGCTCTGTCACGAGGGAGGTGAGCGCGAGTATTTACAACACTCAGCCAACTCAGGGCCGGCCCGTGGCATAGGCACCATAGGCAAATGCTAAGGGCGCTGTATATCCAGGGGGGCACCAGAAATGAGGGCGGTTCAGTTGGTTTTGTTTTCGATATTTCTGACACACATTCAGTTATAGACGGCATTAACTCAAAAAACTCTTACCCTAAAAAGATCTAAAGTGTGTTTCCAAAAAAAAAGAGAAAGCTGGTTATGTTTCACAGCTGTCTTTCTTTTTTTTTTTTCGCTCAACATTACGAGCACTGCTAAGCCCTCGCAATATGTGTTTAGCCGGGAGAGCTCGCGCTTAGAGGAGCTCTCAGTAAGGGACCGTAAGAAAAGTGCTTCCTTTTTTTCGCTTTTTTTTTTTTGTTTTTCTGCTCTGCTCAGCTCGAGCTCTCCCTGTTGCGAGGGCTTAAGTGTGTGTGTGTGTGTGTGAGTGTGTGTATGTGTGTGTGTGTGTGTGTGTTTGTTGCTGTCTATGTTTGTGTATGTGTTTGAATGAGAGACAGTGTTGCTGTGTGTCTGTGTGTTTATACAGACAGCATGTTATAGCCTCCCCCCTAAAATATAATACTGTATGTGAAAAGCATCGTCAATGCACCGTGATGCACCCAGATATCGAATTGAACCGAATTGAAGGCATGATAATCGGAACCGAACCGAACCGTGAGACCAGTATAGGTTCACACCTCTAACATCAAGTCTCCCCTTGCGGGTAGCAGGTGGGCTCCGGTGCGTCCTCCCCCTTCGGGGACTGGCACGCTTTCCCAATGTACTGTCTTATTTAAAAAAAATCCCTAGTCTATATTAGATAGAT